TCTGCGCCTTCGTCTGTGTCAAATGAAATAACTGAAAACGACAGTAAGATAAAAATGACGGTACAACCACCTCTACCACCAAATTCTCCACCACCAATCCTTTGAATTTTGAAATTAAGACCGAAGTTGTGGATGATATGTATGAAGTTAACACAGAAGAAAGACCAAATAGGGGACAGACAGTAGAATATTCTATAGAGTTTGAGTCCTAAGCAGAAAACCTAAAAAAACAATGTGCAATGCAAGGATTTCATTCGTGGTACATGCAAGAGAGGAGAAACCTGCAATTATGTGCATGTGCTGGATTTGGACAACTACTTTTGAAAAGGAAAGCTTCTTTAGAACTGGTTATTTGCCACCACATACGTTACGCCATTTGAAATAATGCATCCAGTTTATCCTACCCTACCAACGGAAATGCAAGCTGGATCCTATTCGGGACCACCAGGATCAAGAAACGAAAGACGAGACAGTCCCGTTCAAAACGGGACTTGTGGTCATGTTGCATATACACCATTCCGTGCGGCTGTCTCTCCGCCTACTTATGCTTGGTGTTGAAAATACAGACCAACCGGTATACAAGAAATGTCTGAATTGTGAATTCCATAAGGTCAGATACCAATAAAATCAAGCAAAGATAGACATATCGATAAAATCCACTAAAACATTGGATGAAAATATTGCAAAATTGTTGAATAAGAAGAACTGGCTTACCACTGTGCTCAAAGTTATATTGTCCTGTCCAGACACTTATTACAATAGCGATGTAACTGCCTGAATTTATACTACTAATATACGGTATAATATTTTTTGTAAACATACCATTACGTACATGAAAATATACTGTACTTATTTTAATTTTATGCCTTGCTGTGCGATGGTTCTTTTACGATGATTATGATTTCAGTATTTTATAATTTTAAATATATTAACCCTACAAGAGAACCATAGAAGAACCATATGCGGAACACCGACTTTAATCGTTCCTGTAGCTATAAAAGTATTAGTAGCGACATCTTTTGACTTGACTTGATAGAAGCTACTGATTTTTAGCAATATAGTAATACGATCCATTACCGAAAGATGTTGTTCGTGTTTTTGTTATAGTGAACTCAGGGTGAAATTTGAATGAAAGTGTTGCGTTAGTAAGTTGTTTTTTATATTACAATAGTAAACGTATCAGTAAATCATATTTTTATATATGTTGTTGTTTTATATGTGTTGCTGTCCTTGTGAATACTTTGATTTTATTATAGATAATGTCGCGAAGAAGATTGTGTGATGCAGATATTGAGGGTTTCTTGAATATTCCTCCTGGAAGCGAAGATGAACAAGATTTCTATGACGCTGAAAGTGATGATGACATCGAAAAAGTTCAATCAATCCGAAACATTTTATCCGAGGCGCTTAGCGACGTGGAAACTTCCTCATCTCCGCAGAAACGTCAGTGTTCGTCTCCTGTTAACGAGGTTGTTACGAATATTGAAAATTATCAACCAGAAATATTAGAGCCTCAGTCTAGTACATCAGGAATGACTTCCGGGACAACTACAGGTACCATTACACAATGTCGGGCATCTAGACGATCATGGAGTATGAGTAACACAATCGGTCATAGATCTAGAATCCCTGGCTCTGTCACTCAAAGAAAAAAGAGGAGATTTATTTGGAAGAAAACTTCTTTCCAATCACTTCCTTTATCATGTACTGGAAACACAAATTTACAGTCACCGATTATAGACTTCGAAACTCCCCTGCAATATTTTTCATGGTTTTTTGATAATGAATTATTTCAACATATCGTAGAAGAAATGCACAAATTTAGTATACAAAAAATCCATCAAAGCCGTATATAATAACAACTAATGAATTGGAAAAGTTTACAGGTATCTGTGTGATTATGAGTCTGGCGCCACTGCCAAATATTCGAATGTATTGGGCATCTGAATTAGGTATTCCTTTGATTATAAAGACGATGTCGCTAAATCAATTCAAAAAAATCTGTCAATTCCTACATTTTAACGATAATTCTACGCAACCGCCATCAGATAGTCCAGGGTATGACCGTTTGCATAAAATTAGGCCCATATTGGAAACATTAAAAAAAATGTCAAAGCGTGCCGAAAAGAGAAGCACTATCAGTCGACGAGCAAATGTGCGCGACAAAAGCCTGTAATCTTCTTCGACAATACCTACCTAATAAGCCACACAAACGGGGCTATAAACTGCTTATTCTCTGCGACGATCGTGGCTTTGCTTACGATTTTGAAATTTATTCTGGAATGGAGAACGATCCCGAGCTAAGACATCCAAGTGAGCCAGACTTAGGAGCTAGTTCAAATATCGTAGTACGCTTAGTTAGGTCCATACCAAAGAATAAAAATTACAAATTATTCTTTGATAATTATTATACATCACCAGAATTGATTGCTCATTTGGCCAAACAGGGACCAACTATTACACCTATATCTTGAGATATGTTAGGCACAATGTAAGCCTTTAAATCTTTACACATGGCTTCATCAGCTTTTATAGTAATCAAAACCTCGCCAAGAGGTGTAACAATTGATCCACCGAAACCTTTTATTACATTATTTTCTGCACACGGTTGAATGTCCAGCAATAGTTGATTAGCCACCGACTCCGTTATCGTAATGCATGTACTTCCAAAATCTATAAAAGCATTTACTTTTATGTCATTAATAATTATGGGCATAAAATACTTTGAACCTTCATCACGATCAGTAATCAATTGTACCTTTTGCGGAGGCATAGAGTTTTTTGTATTACGACTTTTAAGTTTGAAGCATTCCTCCTTAATGTGACCCATTTTATTACAATATGAACATTTACGTATTTTTAAAAAACAATTATTTTCATTATGTCCCTTTTTACTACAAAACGAACAATTACTTACTAATTTTTCACGCATTTTATAAGTACAACGATTGGCAGTATGACCGCGCCTTTTGCAAGTGTGACATTTAACATTATTAGAATACCTAACGTCCGTACTCTCATATTTGTGAGACACTGGAACGGCTAAAGCTGAGGTTCTCAATGATGACAAATAATTTAATAATGAATTTGGTTCACGACAACCCGCCGATATCGCTCCTATTTCTACCAACTCGTTACCTATCGTACCTATAATTGCCTCTGTTATTAACGATGGTTGTATGTTACATGCATTACCTAGCGCCAGTTTATCATAGTAAAATGGTAAATAATCCATATCGGGACGCCTAATGGTATTTACTAAATCACGTAACATACTTAATTTACTTTTATGGGACGGAAAAGCTGTTAACAATTTATTTTTAAATTCCGCCCAAGGGCGGTTTATATCTTGCAGTTGTAATTGATTATACCAACTACGAGCATAACCTTTTAATTTTGAAGCGCAATTAAATAGTAATGTTTTCTCATCCCAGCCATACATGTTGGAAATGCCCTCTACCTTACGGAGCCACAACTCCATGGTTATTAACGACGTTTGAGGGTCGTATTCTGGTACTGGGTCACTCCGACCTACATAACGAATATTAGTATTGAAAGAACTATTATTACAATGTTCATCATACGTAAATCCCTCTTGAGATGACAGCTGTGGTCTGCCTGTGATAGTCGTTGAGTCCTGTGCGACTACAACAGGCAGCGAACCAATTGTGCACGAAGGAGTCTGCACTGTAGACTGTGAGTGCGCGGCCCGCTCACTAACAATCACAGACGGCATGGCCTGTAATGTAATGAGGTCGACTGCAACCCTCCGTCAATTGGAACATGCCGAGCTTTGTAAATTTCATTTTCCAAATTATGTAACCGTTGTGCCAACCGACGGTTTTCTATTTCGGCAAGCAACCGACGACGTAAACGCTTTTCCCGTCTTGCACTTGATTTGTCTTTTTTTGACTTCGACCCCATAGTCACAATATTAGTACTATAAATATCACAGTTACGTCGTAAACAAACACAATAACAAGCGTTCTTCGGCTAACTACGCAGTTAAATTGTCTATCCCGGAAACACAAGAACAAGCGTTCATCGGTTAACTACGCAGTTAAATTGTCCATCGCACTTCTGAACTGTAAGAGTATATAATAAAATTAAACTATAGTTCATTCTATTAATGTATTTTATGAACACAGTTTATCACTCGTATATATATTAACAAAAAAACAATAAAACATAATTGTGGACGAGTAGCAAGAATGCAAAAGTAGTAGTGGTGAGGTGTCCTTCACACCGGGCGACGGATGTCGAACTAACTCGGCTCACCAAGGACGTGCGTAGCAAGCGCCGATTCGGATACGCGAGAACAATAGGTGTTAGGCTGGCATCCCCACTATGGTCGCGTCCTCGTTCACTATAAACTCGCATTAAATATGTCATCGTTTGCAAAGTTATTGCATATCATAGTTCATATATACCGCTTTTTAAATAAATTATCAAATAAGAAATGCATGTCATCTGGAGCAAGTTCAGAAATGTTACCTGAAGCTGCTAAATCAATCAATTTTAAGCCTTCGCCTAACTTTAAATACATAAGAAAGTAATTAAAATCTAAGTTTGAGGAAGCAGATAAGATAGCGTCAACGTCTAGTGTACCGTCAGGGTCTGCGCCTTCGTCTGTGTCAAATGAAATAACTGAAAACGACAGTAAGATAAAAATGACGGTACAACCACCTCTACCACCAAATTCTCCACCACCAATCCTTTGAATTTTGAAATTAAGACCGAAGTTGTGGATGATATGTATGAAGTTAACACAGAAGAAAGACCAAATAGGGGACAGACAGTAGAATATTCTATAGAGTTTGAGTCCTAAGCAGAAAACCTAAAAAAACAATGTGCAATGCAAGGATTTCATTCGTGGTACATGCAAGAGAGGAGAAACCTGCAATTATGTGCATGTGCTGGATTTGGACAACTACTTTTGAAAAGGAAAGCTTCTTTAGAACTGGTTATTTGCCACCACATACGTTACGCCATTTGAAATAATGCATCCAGTTTATCCTACCCTACCAACGGAAATGCAAGCTGGATCCTATTCGGGACCACCAGGATCAAGAAACGAAAGACGAGACAGTCCCGTTCAAAACGGGACTTGTGGTCATGTTGCATATACACCATTCCGTGCGGCTGTCTCTCCGCCTACTTATGCTTGGTGTTGAAAATACAGACCAACCGGTATACAAGAAATGTCTGAATTGTGAATTCCATAAGGTCAGATACCAATAAAATCAAGCAAAGATGGACATATCGATAAAATCCACTAAAACATTGGATGAAAATATTGCAAAATTGTTGAATAAGAAGAACTGGCTTACCACTGTGCTCAAAGTTATATTGTCCTGTCCAGACACTTATTACAATAGCGATGTAACTGCCTGAATTTATACTACTAATATACGGTATAATATTTTTTGTAAACATACCATTACGTACATGAAAATATACTGTACTTATTTTAATTTTATGCCTTGCTGTGCGATGGTTCTTTTACGATGATTATGATTTCAGTATTTTATAATTTTAAATATATTAACCCTACAAGAGAACCATAGAAGAACCATATGCGGAACACCGACTTTAATCGTTCCTGTAGCTATAAAAGTATTAGTAGCGACATCTTTTGACTTCTTGATAGAAGCTACTGATTTTTAGCAATATAGTAATACGATCCATTACCGAAAGATGTTGTTCGTGTTTTTGTTATAGTGAACTCAGGGTCACGACACGACGTTGTGTCTTCGCGGTTGTATTTTGGCGACTGACTGTAATGTACACAAACGGTGGCCGGCCGGCAGAAACACACATAACTGTAACTGCGGTCCGATATAGACTAACCAATATTAAAGTGTGATATTAAGTATATTAGTGAGAGTGTTATCTTTGTACGAAATCAAGGATTAAGTTATTAAAAGTAATTTGGAAAACATTTACAAACTCGCAGCACAAACCAGTGAGTCACAAGATATATGAAGAATTAATATAATACATAAACTTATGTTAGGGTTCACATCGATATTGTCGAAAAATCTGATATTTTATATTAAAAGAAGGTAGTTTCATTATTACTCGGTATCGTTAAACTAGTTGCATATATAACCCCCACTCATATCTTCTGTGTATAAAAGAGAGGGTTTTTGTAGGCCGCGGCATTCGGTCTTTGAGCACAGGATGTGCTGGTTGTATTTTAATTGCTGAAGTGAATTGTGTTAGAGACATAGTTAAATTAATGTTATATAGTTGTTATTTTATTATAATACATACATTTACTAGTACATAGAATTGGTATATCTTACATATCAGAAGTGTGAAAAACCTAAAACTTATAATTTCGAAACATCTAATGAGTCATCGCACGTCCAGATCACGTGTCACCGAAGATGCCGTAATTGAAGCTGTAGGTGCAGAAGTGGTGCCAGAACGACATGCTGAGCGACGGTACAACGCGGGAGCATACTTAAGTTACGTAGTCTTTCTTTATCTATATAAATACTATTAGAAATTGTGAAGAATACAATAGAAAACCCTTTGTTTAAATGGGCTTGGTTTGGTATGTACTTTTGAATAGTTATGGCTATTTTTTTACCGCTCTTTCGGTTGCCTTATCGCGGATAGAGCGAGCAAGAGGCTTGCTCTTTTAAATAATCGTTGTGACTTTGCATTTTTAAGTTTAAATGTGTGAATGCAAATTACCAGCCAGCACTAAATTGTTAGTCAAAATATTATATACACAATAAGATTAAAACAGTTGGTAGTAATTAGAAGTCCTTCGAATGTGGTTTTATATCACAAACGTATTCTCAAAATACACAAAAGTTACATTAATTTAGTACCTTCTATCAATCAGTAAAAAAAAAAAAATAAGTGGAAGATATGTTTAAAAGGAAAAGCAGTTTTAACCCCATCGATTTATATTATTATGAAATTAACCTTAATCAGTGTAATACTGCAGAGAAGTGAGGCAGTAGTCTAATGTTTTTTTTTTTTTTTTTTAATTTATTTAGGTCAACAAACAGTTACACATTATATATATGACTTATGGCTATTTACTAATAAATTTTAACAAATGTGTCACCCACTACGTTAAGCACTGATTACTATAATTATACAATATTGCCTAAGGCATGTTACAGAGATTATGTTACTGCTCAAAATCTACCCTGTATCATCGTAAGCACAGATTATTATATTAGAGTCCGTTAGTTTTCTGTTCCCGCGCTTTCACTTCCCCTCCCTTACCTGAGCGGAGCTCCACGCGTCAGTGTATCACTGGCGCGCGGAGCGACGTTCCATGGGGGAGGCACCCGCTGGCCACGAGATTGGAGCGCGGAGGTCCGACTTTCGGCGGATCCTGAGGATCAGGTGGAGAGAAAGGCTGGCCAGTCCATCGGCCGGCCTGAGGACCGTCGAGGCTGTCCGTCCCATCCTCAAAAGGTGGATGAATAGGAGATGGCCACTGACGTACCGCATGACGCAGATACTGTCCGGGCACGGCTGCTTTGGGCGGTATCTGTGTCATGTGGCGAGGAAGGAGCCGACGACCGGCTGCCACGAATGCGGAGGTGTAGAGGACACGGCGCAACACACGCTGGAAATATGTCCAGCGTTTGAGAGTGAGCGCCGTGTCCTCACACGAATAGTGGGGGACCATCTCTCGCTGCCGAATTTAGTTCGGAGGATGGTCAGTAGCGAGAGATCGTGGCTGGCGGTGAGCTCCTTCTGCGAGGAAGTTATCTCGCGGAAGGAGGCGGCGGAAAGGGAGTGGGAGTCAGCTCGTCCCGCTTCCCTCCGCCGCAGAAGAGCCAGGCCTAGAGGTGGGAGCGTATCCAACTCCGCCCCCCTCTATCCCCCACTGGGGCCGGGGTGACTGCCTTGAGGGAGGCAGTCCCCCCAATCCAAAGGCCCCGGAGGTGTGCGCGTGTACCCACACGCCTCCACAATGGAGTAGGGCGAAATAGGTCGCCCTAACCACAAAACGAGATGGGGCCTGCCCTACAACATCTACAGGGCGGGCCGTCGCCGTCGGAGCTGGGGTAGAATGCACTTGCGAATCCCCTGGCTCCGGCATAGGCGCTCGTAGGTACACCGTGTGGTTTTTTAGTGGGTACAAGTCCCACACACCACCTCGCCATCCCTCCGGCGGGGTGACGGTCTTTTGAAGATTTTTCCACACGTTAAAAAAAAAAAAAAAAAAAAAAAAAGAGTTTAATGATCACACAAAAGAAAACTGGAGCGATGGTCACTAATACACTCAGAATGATGAACCTGTCCCCCTCAAAATCAATGAGGTACGCAACCCCCCCAAACGGGATTCCACCACAGCAGTAAGGGTATCCCCCCACTCCTCCCCATACATGGAGTCATAACCCTCCCACAACTATCAAATTCAATTTTTTCTCCATCGCTACAAAATTTTGATTAATGGAAAATCTCCCATGTGATATCCGTGATTGACGCAGTTATTGTTATTACACTGACATTTACTGTATTCGATACACAGAGTAGTTTACTACTTTTCGCATGCATTCCTCTGCTACTGAAGATTAGGCTGTATGGTCTCGTACCTTTGCCTATCCACTTGTGGATAAAATATACCACTACTACTACTATGCATTCCTCTGGTATACGTACTTTACTCTTTGATGTATTGATTGATTTTACTTTTAAAGAATACTTGCATATAAAGATGTGCTAACTCGGAATAAACATGACTCGAGTTAACTCTAGTTAAAATTCAGGTAACTCGAGTTGACTCCAGTTACCTGGAATAAATTTTTTATTTTTATTTTTTCGATAAATTCTAATGTTTTTGGGCGCAGCTAGCCTTAAAAGCTTCACCGAACTTTAGGGGGCGAGTAGAAATGGCACTTTAAAGCCGAGCAAGGACTTATGGAATGCATAATCATTTTATTCATAACATAATCGAACGAATATGCGAAAAAAAAAATTATAACAACCTCAAATCAATATTGAAATATTTGTGACGAAAGAAAATTGTATGATACGAAATGATCGGAAAATTTCATGTCATTTTCAGTTCGATGACAGAATCATGCTCTCGCTCTTTCACTTGATTCATTAATTTACCAGTTGAATTCTTCCAACTCGAGTTGGCAGAATTCAACTTGAGTTAACTTGAGTTGACACATCACTAAGTTGCATGTATCAAATAAAATCAATACTTGCAGGGTGGTGCAAGCAAGTCGTATAGAAATTATTGTACAGTAAATATATGTTTGTTAGTGTATTAACTTAATCTCAAAGTATCAATTGGTTATTCATTTGCAGGTTTAATTTCGCTACAAACCATCAAAACAATGGCATCATCTTCATTGGCGGATGTGCCTACAGTAGATATAGATCCATCTGGGGTATTTAAATATATGCTGATTAAATTATATGATAGAAAACAAAGTGAAGAAAACTTTGTATACATTGTTCGCGGTTACTGCAGATGCATTTACCATTCAGACGTATATGTGGAGGTATGTATATAAACTTCATTTGTTTCTCTACATTTGTCTCCTTTTTTTTTCAACTCGAATTTTAAAAATATTGTTATCCGAAATACATCGTTATTATAATACTTATTAGCAAAATATAGTCACATGCTGTTAGATAGTGGGTGAAATCTTCCACTTGCCAAAACTACTTAGCAAACAAGTTGACAATGGCAGCAGAAATATGTAATAAGGAGGTACTGCACACTAACAACTTTGTGGAGACCTTTGTAAATATAATAGAAAGAAACTTAATATAAACTCATTTGAATTGTCATAGAACATATATTTTTATATAATTTCATTACTACTTTGACATGTATAATTATTGTTTTTATTTTTAGGTACAAGAAAAACTGCATCCATTAGATTGTGACATAGTGGGTGGGGGTAGTATATCACATGAACCGAGTTCAAAGAAGATTCGCATCTATGGTCATGCACACGGCTATGGCAAAGCAGACCATGAAATAACAGCCAAACTTATCAAAGCTGCATTCCCTAACTATAAAATCACAATTAGTGATAAAGCATATTAAATGCAGTCATATTGTAAAATGTTATTAAATTTAATGTTTTAGCTTTTATTGTTCTATTTAATGTAAATGACATACATCCATGAGGGATATATGTCATTTATTATAAATGTGCAGTTAATAGAATTCTTAGATGTAACTTCACTGTTATGAGTAACATGTATACTATAACAGCCAATAAATATATCATTTGAATTTAAAATTCATTATCGTTTTATTTATTCATTCGTTAAGAACCATTTTCATGTAAATCTATATACTAAAAACATTATAATGTAGCATGGGAGGCTTTTAATATTTATTTTATTCATAATAATAATAAACTCTTTATTGTGCACATACAATACAATAAGAAAAGCAGTAAATAAAAAAATAATTACAAAGGTGGTCTTAACGCTATAGGCAATTTCTTACAGACAACCTGCTAACAAGCAATAGGAATAAGGTACATAGAAGAGGTAGATGGCACACATAAGCAGGAGGGGGCCAGCAACCACCACGCCAGATCCTATTCTCGCTAGTTCGTCCGCGGCGTCATTGCCATATGATCCGCTGTGCCCCTTTATCCATTGGATAATTACTCTATTGTGTGTTGCAATTTTTTCCAAGGCGATGTAGCACTCCATTATTAGTTTGTTGTTGGATTTTCTGTTCTGTAGCGCTTTAAGCACGGCTGCACTGTCCAATATGAATTTAACGTTGAAATTGTTGACCCCTAACCTGTACATGGCTGTTGCTGCCTCGGTCAGGGCAACACATTCGCACTGAAAGATCGAACTGTGTTTGCCGAGCGGTATAAATATGTTCATGTTGAGGTCGAGGGAATGTGCTCCAGCTCCTGAACCGTTCTGTGTTTTGGAGCCATCTGTGTATATGCGTAGTTCATTTACTGCAGATTGGTCCCTTTCGTCCTCCTTCAATTGTATTTGGTATTTCCTATTGAATGAGTGGTATGCTTGAGTTCTATCACACGGAGCGGCAATCAAGGGTTCATATTCGATTGCTTGGTTCAGGATGGTTGTGTGAGAACTGTTACGGTCTTATTACAAAAAATCTGTTAAAACTCGGACGAAACGTGGTCTAAATAGTCGTGGTTTAAACCATTCCTAAAGTTAATACTTGGAATAAACCGAACATTATTATGAATCCAGATTTAACAGGGGTCTACTTAGTACTATAGTCGTATTTTTAATTAGACGAAGTCAACTGACGTTTACTGTATTGTCAGTATTTAATGAAATAAAAATAGTGTTGTGACAAAGTGAATAATTGAAAAAACTCCTGAATGAATGGAATTGCTTCGATTGTCTAGTCTAGTGAATAGTTAGTGTGCCGAACTGCCGATATCGGGTACCGGGTTCGAATTTTAGCCGTGCTTTATGCATACCAACGAGTTTTCGACTACTATGTTCCTATAGTATCTACCTATACTCAATACCGAGTATTTTAAACATAGAGAAAAAAATTGCGAGGAAACTTTTAATAATAATAATAATAATAATAATAATACTTTATTTGCCAAATGTAGGTAAACAATCAGGTGTTATAAATATGTTGTTGAGATCCGTACATTAACCTCGTAAGAGGTGTGCAAAATTTCAAATTGTAGGTACAATTAATGTTTAATGAAATAAAATTACTGTACTACGTCATCATACCGATAGTCATTAATCAATTGTCTTTACGTCAATGTATCAGTCAGGAAATCACCAACCGTGTAGTAAGTTTTACCAATCAGTATATTTCTAAGAGCAGTTTTAAATTGATGGATACTACCAATAGATTTTAATGCCCTTGGAAGATTATTATATATTCTAGGTCCCATTCCTAAAATACTATTACACGACATAGCAGTTTTAGCCGGAAAATTACACAATTTATCATTATTACGTATTCCTTTGATGTTATTAAAAAGTTCAAGGTTCGTCTTAATAAAAATAGACACCTCATAAATGTAAAGGGATGGAGCCGTAAGTAGATTGTATTTTTTAAAATATGGAACACAACTATCAGTATTTTTTAAATTACACATCGCCCTGACACATTTTTTTTGTGCTTTAAATACTAGATCCTTACCCGTAGCGTTACCCCAAAAAATTATACCGTATCTCAAAGTTGATGAGACGTACGCATGGTAAGCACTTAGAAGAGTAGTTATACTTACTACCTTTGAAAGATTGTATAGAGCAAATGAAAATCGATTTAAGTCTTTAGAAATTTTTTCGATTTGATACTTCCATTTTAATTTATCGTCAATATAAATACCCAAAAATTTTGTATTATCAATGTTAAGTATTTTATGTCCTAAATAGTTAATATTCATTGTAGCAGTTTGAATTGAGTGTCTATTAAATGTCATCATATTTGTTTTAGTCAGATTAATTTTTAAATTATGTCTTTGTAACCAGTCAATTATACATTTTGTAGAGTTATTTATTTCTTTTTCATAATTATAATTGGCTAATTTATCATTTATAAATAATATAGTACTGTCATCTGCAAATAAAATCATTGGATGATTAACAACCCTCGGTAGATCGTTTATGTATATATTGAATAAAAGCGGACCTAGTACACTACCTTGAGGAACACCACATCGTATGTATCGCAATTTCGAGGTGTAAATAGTCTCATTCTTACTTTTTACACATATTCTACTAATCTGTGTTACCTGTTGCCTATTGAATAGATACGATTCTAATAATGATAATACATTTCCTCTTATACCATACGACGCCATTTTTTTAAATAATATGTCGTGATTTACATGATCAAATGCTTTAGTCATGTCCATAAATAGCGCTGTTACACTTATTTTCTTATCAGTGTTAGTAATTACAGTATTAAGAAAATTAAATATAGCTAAGTTAATGTTTTTATTTTTTCGAAATCCGTTTTGCTCATTAGCAAATATTTTATATTTTTCTAAATATGAGTAAAGGTTATTGTAAATTACCTTCTCAAAAATTTTTGCAAATATTGTGATAAGAGCTATAGGTCTATAACAGTCTAGATTTTCCCTATCACCTTTTTTAAATAAAGGTTTTATCACTGATAATTTTAGTTTATTAGGAAAAATGCCATTTTCTATACAAAGATTAATAACATAACTTAAAACTGGTGAAATTATTCCTGCTACATATTTAATTACTTTTGTTGAAATTTCATCATAACCTATGCTTGCAGTATTTCGTAAGTTTTTAATTATTAAATTTATGTCATCAGGACCAGTGGGTAACATAAACATAGAATTATAATTTCGATATGATACGATACGATTAATGTCAATTACATTATTATTGCTACTATTACATGTCATATTTATATTTTCGTCAAAAGAAATGTCATCCGTATTTGATTTGTTATCACAGATTGAATTTTTTATAAAGTAATCATTAAATGCATCTGCTATTATTTGTGAGTCATGTACAATTATTTTATTAATATATATACTTTCTATAGGTTCCTTAACAACATTAGATTTATTGCTATTTATAACATTCCACGTCGCTTTACATTTATTTTTTGATGTCTGTATGTAATTGTCATTTTTTAACTTTTTAGTAAATTGAATAATGTTTTTAAGACGCCTACTATAGGTTTTAAATTTATTTTTATTTTCTATAGTTTTATTTCGTCTATACTCCCATAAACATTTTCTTTTACGTTTACTACATAGTTTTAAGCCCTTAGATATCCAATTAATTTTTTTTTCAGTAGGTACTTTAATTTTGAGTATAGGAAAACAGAGGTCATAGAACAACTTAAATGTATCATAAAACACGTCAAATGCTTCATTAGGGTCATTATTAGTATATACATCAACAAAACTTAGTGCCTTAAGAGTTTTCTTAAACTTAATCAAATTATCAATATGAATATCTCGTTTTTTCGTAAACCAGTGTGAAATAATGCAAGTTTTTTTTTTACGGGACATTTTAGAACTTGTGCTGTATGATCAGATAGAGCAAGTTCTATTACATTACTTTTAGAACCCCTAACATTGTGTATTATATTATCAATACAAGTTGAGCTGACCAAGCGTGTTGGTTCTTTAATAGCAAATTTTAAACCGAAACTGTGCAGGGTACCTTGAAATTGCAATGAATTTTTAGTTTTAATTAAAGTATCTATATTGAAATCTCCCCCTATTATTATTTTTTTATTCCTCTGGTTTTTTGTTATTTCCGATAACACTTTATCAAATACATCAAAAAAAGTCTGCATTGAAGTTGAATCTTGTCTTGGTGGTCTATAGATACATAACAACGTGATGACTATTCTAACTATATGACTAACTAATTCTATACCACAACATTCAATAATATTTTGTACACTATACTTTTGTAATTTGGACAATGTTTTGAATTTATGTATGTTTTTAACCATTATACACGAACCTTCTTTTCGTGTAGATCTAGAAAAAACTGCTGCAATATTAAAATTTGGTATATATAACTGATTGATATCACCTTCCACCATATTGTGTTCCGTTATACACAACACATCGATTGAAAAGCCCTCATTTTTTAACTCATTCAAACTCATGCTTAATAGATCCGATTTACCAATAAGACCATTTATATTTTGATGCAATACAGTGATATTATTATACAAGAAAAAACGAATCTTCTGTTTTATTAACCATTTCTGAATTAGATTTGTCATTATTACAATTACTTAAAGCTATGTTCGAAGTATGAGAAATATCATCAGTCTGTGTATATTTATGACAGAAATTTGTTTGCCTTACTACGTTGTCATAATTACTTAAATTTAAAATGTATGTTTCATAATTATATTTGTAGGTAATATGTAATATTTCTCTTAAAAGATGTCTACATAGATTAATTGTAAATTTCATTTTAGTTAATTTAATCCTAGAATAATCCATGTCAATAAATGAAACATTTTTGTGAAAATTAGAAATGTGCCGCAACTCATAATTTAACCGACTTTCGTTAAGTTTCATATTAAATGGTATTTCAGAAAATATTACATTA